AGGGAGGGAGGGAGGGAAGGGTGAAGAGCACACGGGAAGTATCAAGCGGTGTGTTTGGAGGGAAGAAAAGAAGGAAGGGAGAGGGAGATAGAAAGTTTGCGACATTATTGGCGGATTATAAATGTATTGCCGATCCTCAAAGCACCTAACCTAAAGCCTAAGGAAGGCAAAGTGTTGTACATATTTGACCAGATAGGCTCTAGGATCCGTACTCCTCCTTTCCTTTGAGTGTAGGAACCGCGGATGGGTTTGTTCTTTTACTTTCGCGCCATTTTGGGGCAGCACGCCATGGCACACGAGCTCTCGGTACAGTATGACTTTGAAGTGGACGGAAAGAGGAAACGCGTGCCGAGGGCCCTGTGAGACTTTGTGGCGGCCGTCCCCCAGCCAAAGGAGGCTTACCATGCACGAGAAGCATCCCACGCTCAGCTCTGAAGCTTGGCGAACGCGTCATCGTAGGGCAGTGACGGTTTTGGAGCCAGGTCAAACGCAAGATCTATCGCAGGTGGTGAATTTCTTCACGTTTGCTCGTCCTCCCTCGCTGCGCTCTCTCCCCTCTGCCACCAGCTCTTTCTCCATCTCTTTCCCTGCCGCAACCCCCCTTTCCTTCTTTTCTTCCACCCCCCTTCGCTTGTCTCTCCGCCTGCCTAGCCCGTCATTCGCGCCAAAAAGGGCTTCGTCAAACCCGTCTAATTTCCTGTCTACATTTACCCTAGTTTGTTCCCTGTCTTCACTCCCTCCTTGTGCCATGTCCAAATGCAAGAAACGGTCATGGGCCATTCTTCTGACCAAGTGCAGGCCAGGCACGGCGTCGGTTAATCTTTGATGCAATTTATCAGCTATCTCCGCAGGGTCGGTCGGGCCGCACGTAAAGACGTCCAAGGCCAACCAACCCTTTTCGGAATAGCAATGCGCAGATACGTGGCTTTCGTCGATCAAGCATATGCCAGTGAAGCCTGGAGGGCTCAGACCATCGTCACCGAGGACAACGACATGGGAATGCACCTCCCGTACCCCTGCTTCCCGTACTGCGGCGCGCACAAGAGCCAGGGTCATTGTCGCTCCGTCTTGCGCGTCCACGAAAAAGGACGTATAATCCAGGGTTAAGTGACGACCATGTGCCTTAATTACGCCGTCGTTGCTGTAAGGAATCGAAATTTTGACATAGGAAATGGTTGGGAGGTATCAGTAAATTTGCTACAGGTTGGGAGGAGGACAGGAGGTTTGATACCACGAGGCGAACTATGTATCCCCGGGCTACCTGGTGCTGGGCACATCGACGTTCCCATTCACGTCACATGAGGCTATGCTCTCTTCGGTGGTTGACTGGCTTGTCGGTCTCGACCATTGTAATGACGCCGAAAGCGAGGGAGCAAGCCTGGCGTGTGGGAGATGTGATGGCCAGCCGTGCGACAAAGCTGCAGGAAGGAAAGCGTGCGCGTGGCACACAAAAAACAGAAGCTGCAAAACAATGACACCTCCAGTGCGATCAGTGCCTCCCCTTCTCTTGCTATGGAACATACTTCCCTGTTGATGGTGAGAACTTTTGATCAGGACTAGTACACAAGGGCGATTGAAGCCGCGACGTTTTCGACGGCAAGTATGAAGATGGTCAACACAAAACTTTCTGACGCCCGAGACCCTTTTCCCCATCATTCAGGCAAAAATTGTGGGTCGATGCATTGCAGAAAAAATTTCTCGTGTCTACACAGTCGCATTGCCGAATAAGTGCTTCATTTTCCCCCCTTATGTCTGCTCCAGCGTTGTGCTTGACGTAGTATAGTACGTAAGCGGAAGAATGACGCGGTCCCGATGGAGCCCTGTTGCATGTCATTTTCCGTTCCTTAAAGTGTGTCAATGGCATACACTACTGACGTTAAAATTAAGCCTGTCCGAAAATGCGTTTATCACCACTCACACGGTTTGATTGAGCGTGCATGCAAGGTTAGAAATTCGAGTGGCGGGGCTGGCCCATTCTCGTAATGGGTCTTGCGCCGTTTCATATCAGAACTTCTAAAAGTAAATCCCGAGAGACAGTAACTCAGATAGATGCTCCTTTACAACATTTGAGACAGGAAAATAATTGAGAGGATAATTAACTGAAAAAGTGTCGGGTAAAAATGTCATTCCTTCGCAACGCGCACAGGATTTCCTGTACCTACCCGAACCTGCCCTTCCCAGTACATCAGGAGCCCACCAAATGGCATGTCGAAAATCCTTGTACAATAACTTTTTTTGGTAATATATCAAGCTTCGGGTCATTCAGTATCGCATTCATCGAACGCCTCGTTGTGTTGAGACCTTCGCTTCTTCTACCCCTTTGTATTCTATTTCCGTTGAAACCTTGGCAGGCCTTCGTCCTTCAAGAGCACATGGCATATATATGCGGGTTGTTCAACATCACTTCTCTTGCACCCTTCCCTCCATCCGCGTCCACGCGTCTCCCCACGCGGACCCACATATTCTCATTCGCCACATCCCACATGCATTGCGTCCTGTCCAGACCATGCGAATTCGGCAATTCTAAACACCACGACACCGTGGTAGAGGAAGGAGAGGGTGATGTGGAAGAGAAAAACAAGCGAGCGTTCTGCGCCTTATCCCCTTTCTTGCCCGTTTCGAGGCGTACCGAAGACAGGTCAATGTCCGGGACTTGAACAAGGAGGGAGCAGCCACATTCCTCTTCCGTCACGTCTACCGGCGGGGACGGCAAGGGTCCTCCACTTTCATCACTGTGACCGATAGAAGCAAGTCCCTCCTTTCCTCTCCTTCTCTTCTCCTCCTCTCCTTGTGTCTCGGCCTCCACTGGCGACCCTTTTCCCTTCGGCATGCCTTCTCCTCCTCTTGACCCTCCCAGTACCTTGATCGTGCTCTGAGGAGGCGGGGTGACCCATCGCCCGTGATCATTCCTCCCTCCTTCCCTGATCTTCTCGCCTATCTCTGTCGCTTTGCCCCCTTCCTCGATACAAGCTTCTTCCTTCTCCCCTTCCTCCTCCTCCTTCCCTCCGGCCGCCCTCCCCATGACAACCATCTTTCCTGCATCCTGTTCCACAGCCAACTTCAACACCATCGTCCGCTCATGCCTACCTTCCCGCTTTATCACCCTTGCGATCATCCTGTCTCCCTTCGCCCCCTCTTCTTCCTCCGCCGTCACCGCGGGATAGGGCAGGGGGACCACGACGGCATACCTTCTTCCTTCCTTCCCTTCCCTTCCTCGGAACGTACGGCTCTGGATTCGAACCTCCCGCCGCCCCACATCCACCACCCAATTCTCACACACCATCCCTTCTTCACACTCGCCCTCCTTGGACGGTAAAGTCACCTTAAGGAGGAGGAAATTCGGGCGGGAAAAACGCGCACAGAGGCGTGTCTGCGGGGCGTCCATGAGGCCGGAGAGGTCTTCTCTCTCATGCTGCTCGTGGAGGGTGTACTTGAGAGGAAGAGGCAAAGGAGGGGACGCGAAATGAAGTGGAGTGTCGGCGCTTGAGTTACCTGTCTGGGCCTCTGTCATGACCGTCGCGCCTCCTTTCCTCCCTCCTCTTCCTCCTCCTCCTTGTCCTCCTCCTCCTACTCCTACTCCTCCTCCTTCTCGCCCTCCTTCACCGCCTTTTTCTCCTCTGTCTGGTCCGGCGCTTTCTCTTCTTTTCCTTGTTTCACCACGGCTGTCTTCTCCTAGTTCAAGCTTTTCGAACATTTCTTCAACGCCAGCTCCTTTGAGATTTCCTCCTTCCCCTCCTCTTCCACCCTTTCTTTCCGCTAACTCTTCTTCTCCTGCTCTTCCTCTTTTGTCTCCTTCTTGCATGCCTACAGCGTCGGTCCTTGAGCATACTGTTGTTGCTGGTATAGTGTGTGTTTGAAGAGCGGGCGAGGAGGATGGAGGGGGCTTTGGCGACGCAGCCAGGAGGTTCGCCTTCTCCACCAGCATGGGTACCACCGACCTCCCCGTCTTGTATCTGCAATTTTTCAAGATGACATACTCCCGATGCACGCGCACGATCTGCCGTCTCCTCCTTGGCTTCTCCGTTGTTTCCTCTCCCAGCCTATCGCCTTCCTCCCTATGCTTCCAACTCGCCAAATACCCGGACATGGCCAGTTCCACCACCCGGTCCATCCCGTCATGCTTGCCCGTCTCCCCGCTCCCCGCCTCCTCTTTCTCCTTCCGCTCCTCCAGGGCCCAGGTGATCGACGTCGGGTGCAAACAAAGGTCAACCGTGTCCACGTGCGTTCCATGTTGATCTTTTTCTGTCCGGAGACGGCCCATGGCGGCAGGGAGTTTCCGCGAACTTGAATTCGCGGCCTCCTCTTTCCGAGGTCCCGGCGGCTGTAGGACCTCGCCAGCGTGGGACCGCTCAGGGATCAGCACGGAATTAACCACATTGATGAACACCTTGACTTTTTTTGTTTCTTTCTGCAGACTTTTTCGGCCATCGACACCAGTCTCTTCCACCGTGACGTGCGCTTTGACAACAAAGCCGGGGCGAGGACGCACCAGGATCCTTCCTTCAGGTACCTTGCCCTGGCACTCCCATGCGTTAAGTTCCTCAATCGATAAGCTAAGAGGGCTTATGCTGGTATACTGTCGATCGAGAAACGGAACGTTGAGATCCAGAGATTGCTTCGCTGATTGTAAATTTTCCTCCAAGCCCGAAAATGATAACTTTTCAGTGAAGGCTGCATTGTCAAGGGTCTTACCACCAGCTTTAGACCCTGACATATTCGGAAAGTACTCCGTGTGGTCTTTTCTGGAGCGGCAAAAGTTTAATGCCCGCTGAAATCAGAGGCGTAGCGTGCCTTTTTGGGGGGGGGGGGAAAGGAGCATGCATGAGTTCCAAGGAGAACAGTGAACTCAAATTTCGACGCATATCTCAGAAAACTGATAATGAAATATAAAAGAAAAGGAAGGAGTGCATATTCTACCCCCACAAAAATGGTGGAGGGATTTGTTTGAAAATCCGACGGGACTATTTATTTGGGAATTTAGCGGTCAGGAAGAAAGCGTCGAGTAGCATCTAGAATGCCGAGAAGCTGTGAAAAAATCGCTTCCCAAACGCAAGCCTGCTTACGATGTGGTTCATTTCAAACGCAAGCGCATGTGAATGTGTGCGCTATGTATACAAATCCGCTGAACTGTCGAAGAAATACAGCCATGTGAGGTCAAATGAAGGCGAAAGAATGCAGCAAGGTCAAGGGGAGGGGAGGTTAACTTCGGCCCATGCTTTTTTTCTACAGCGGTAGCTTTCTCACGAATGCAAGTTTTGAATGTGAAGGTCTAAAGCACACTTAATAATGTGACCCTTTCTCAGGTAGAGGTTGACACTGACGCTCTCTCGTAAAAAAAATGTGCGATACAGCAGAGAAAAGTTGACTACATCCGGACATCTTAATTATCTCCTTACAGTTTCCTCCTGCAGGATGCTGAATTAATCGATTTTCGATGTGCAACCCTCATGGCGCTCTGCCATTAAATTATCATGTGTGCCTTGACTTCCTTGCATTCTGCAGCGAGGGGAAGAAGGAAGAGGTTGTGGAGAATGTACTCGGGAAGGACGGGAGCAGAAAAATGAGACGGGCGTAATCAGGGCTATGCTCGTGTTGACGAGCCCTTTACAACATTCAAAATGCTAAATTCCACTCAACTTAGGCATGAAATACACTTTCCTGCCAGAATCTTAGAATCTTAAAATCTGCCAGAATCTTCCCTGAAGTAGCTGTAAAGCTAAAGTCAACCTTGCCTCTTGGAAGTAAACTCTCCACGGCTCTCACAATGCACGACCATCTCCTTTCTCTAAACCACGCGACTCCTCTGACTGCACCAGCATGCTCGCTTTGCGCTCTGGCTTTACTTGGAGAGGCGATCGAGCTCGCGCCGCTTGGCCCGGTTGGGTCCTCTGGAACCCGAGTACTTTTCCATCTTTTCCTTGGCGCTCTCTTCCCTCTTGGTCTTCTGCAACGAATCTAGAAGATTCAACACGTTTGCTTTGAACTCCGTAAACCCCCAGAATGAGCCTTCCACCTGCACGAATGCCGTGGAGAGCACGCAAGTGGGAGGGCGAAAAGGGAGGGAGGGTGAGAGGGAGGAAGAGTGGAAGGCAATGAAGCGACAACGAGAAAGGCAGAAGACAAATACCATCTGACTTTAAGAATAAATACATTTCAACAAGAGTATGGAACAACCCGTAGCCACGGACAGGAAACATGGTCTTGTGTCTCCACTTCCCTTTTTCCTCCCTCTCTGCTCCACCGCTTCCTAAACCCCCTCGCTCCTCTCCTCCTACCTACCTCTGGCTCCCAACTCGTCGACATGATCGAATACGTGATGCCGACTAACGCGGCCAGGAAAGGCACTTGTGTGGAAAAAGCCACAAATGCTGGAGGGACGTCGATCTCGGTGTTTTTCGCCAAGTACAAATAAAACCCGAAAAGACCGATCCCACCCAGGACAGGGAAGAGAATAAAAGGCAACAGGCGTTTGAGCATACGGTTGGAGATGCGTTCTGGCAGGTACCCCACCACTCCTTCGTCAAGCAAACGCTGGGTTTCCTTGTACTCGTCGATCTCCCGCATGTCCATTTCCCGCTCCATTTCTTTCTGAATTTCCCAATACGTTTTCTTTTGCCGAGCATTCAAACGGTCAAGTTCCTGAAGGGAAGCCTGCGAGGCTGACAGTGGGTTTGAAGGGCCATCTGGCTCTGAGGAAGAGGTTGAGGCGGGGGAGGAAGAGGGTGATGGCTCCTGGGCCGGCGTCTTTCTCCCAAAACCTTTCGGTCCCGACGAGGATTTTCCTTGCCCGGATTCCTGCTCCTCAGCTGCGGCATGAAGAGGGAAAACAGAGGCGAAAGGAGTGGGAAGAGTCGATGGGTTGGGAAAGAAGGCGGAAGGGACGTGTCTTCTACTTTGCAGGAAAGGGGAGGGCATGGAGAGAGGGGCGAAGGCGGCCCCGGGGGCGGGGGCCAAAGCGAAGAAGGCTCCCAGACATCGGTAGGAAAGCCGCGACCTTCTAGACTTGGCTGCTGGCATACTCGTGGAGGGCTCTGTGAGTAGCTATGGGTGGAAAAGGGGGGAAGGCGAGCAGGAGTGACTGTGAGACACAGGTGTCGATCCAAAGCCAAGACGGGTGGAGGACGACATCATGAACACAGAATAACCGCGTGTGAGCTCCGTAACACGAGCATGTGGCACACGCGTACCACCTCATTGTCGTCCGTCCACAACGCAGTAGGTGCCTCAAGTTGCAGGTGATGCCCCGACAAGCCTTGAGCCTCCGCTTTGGGTTTTGGCGGCACAATTCTAGGACAGGCTGTGCGTAAGGACAGGCTAGATCCTGTGACGCGTTTCGCAGCGATGGACATGGACTGGGCGAGACTAGAAAACTATGCATGACGTCGCATTGGTGCGGTACCGAACGAACCAGGGGGAGTGTTAATGTGTGGTGGATGGCGGTGTTGTGACTTATTTAAGTCTTTTTGGGCATGACATTGTGTGTTAATGTCCGATCCCGACACGCATCCGTACATGCTTCCTGACGATCTCCCCTTACCCCACAAAACATGTACATGCACAGCGAGGGAAGAAAAAAGGGAAAAAGGAAGGTGCGAAGCAAGAGATGGGTTATTTTTCGAAGATCTGCCTTGTGGCCATGGCTACAACACTTCTGTCTGCCAACTTTCTCGCGACTGTGCAAGCCTTCGTGCTTCCCAGCAGGTACGATACATAAGAGGGAGCTCGAGGCATTGTTCCACTTGAGTGCATGGAATAAAAATTTACGTGTTGCATCCACCACAAATTTGGTATCTGCTATAACAGCCGCGTCAATGCGGCGTCTTCCCTCTCGACCAAGGTAAGTCACGGATAATGCTGGCTTGGCCTCCAAGCCCCGCTTTGTTCGTCACCCCCTTCCCGGTTCGTTTCCCACGGGGTCAGATGATGGGCGCGAGCACAGCCGAGGCCGGGGAGAAGACGACTATGACGGCAACAGACGTCAAGAACGGGGTAAGAGGTGGGAAAGATGGAGTCTTGGCCTCCCTAAGTGGGCCAAGAGGCGGATTTTAGAGCACAGAAGGACGCTTTTGATCCTCGCAGTCCCAGTCCTGTCTTACCTTTCTGGATACGCCATCCCATTCAGCTCATGGCGAAGATCATGGAGGACCCCAATCTGAAGCTACCGGATCAGTTCCAGCAAGGTGCGTAGGGGGGAAATGTGCGCAGGAAAGGGGGAAGAAAGGGAAATATGAGGAAAGAGAGTGGGAGAGAGAAGAATGGGCGATGCATATATCTGAGCTTTTTACCCCCTACATGGTGTAGCACTGACGGATATCTTGGATGGCATGACCGAGGTGGCGG